GTGGGCGGACAGGTCGGGCGGGCGGCGGAGCTTACCAGCCCCGCGGGAGGGGGCCTGGGGCTCGGGGAGGAGGGCAGCAGGGTTAACAGGCAAGGCACCCGCTGACCCAACGCAGAATTTCCTTTTTGCAAGAGGAAAACGCCCTTTGGAGGAAATTTTAAAACTTAAGGGAGTTTTTCACCCTTAGTTATAACTTAGAATTGGCTTTCTAGGCTTTATCCTGTGTGTGTTTCATGCTTTGAAACCATTTGATTCACGTTCCGTTTGGGGATTTTAAATTGTGCTCGATTTCCTCACCCCTTAAGGCGAAAGCCTGGGTTGGAGTAGGTAGGGGGTGTTTGCAGCGCGACGCCATGATTTGTTGCTGCAGATGGATGTTTAGGTGACCCTGCTGTAAGATAACGTTATAGGAATACCCTTGAAGCCAGACCTTTGAGCATAATTCCCACAGCAGAGTGTGTGTGAAAATATCCTGCGTTTTGATGTGTGTGGACAGTCAGCCTCTGGGCAGTGCCGTTCTAGCTCTGGATAGGTGCTGCTGGCCCCTCATATGTGTTTCTTTGTGCACCCTTCTGAATTAAAGCCCTCAAAGGACTCTCCTGCCTGTTGAATGACTGACAGATCAGAGCTCACAGCTCTTTATTATTTTGTACTTCAGGCAAAGCTCGAGGCTCAGAAGCTGCTGGGCCCCCAAAAAAGAAAAGGAAGAAAGCACAAAAGAAGTCTCGAGAGCCAGGACAGAAGTCTGCAGAGCACAAGGCCAAGTTCAAGGGGGTGAAATCTCCAGTGGCTTCTGGGTCCAAGAATCCAGCAGCGGTTGGAGAGGTCGAGGTTTCCAGCCCCACCAGAGTCTCTGCAGGTGAGGGGCTCCTGTGCCCTGTGGTGTTACCATGAAAGCGTGGCTCCCTCTGCTGCTAAGAAAAGGCAACCAATCCTCAGGCACTTGGGGCTAATGCAAGACTCCCGAGGGCAAAGGTCAGCTCTTGAGGGTGGGTGGGGTGCAGGACTGCCTGGTGCCGGGATGTTAAGGAGCAAGGCCATGCATCTCAGGTCCTGGAGCAGCTCAGCTGCTAGGAAGTGTTTTCTTATGCAGCAGTGACTTACTTGGGAGTCAGTTTAGGGACCAGCCCAGCTTGAAAGGTGGAGGGTTTACCTGACTGGCCTGCAGTTCCATGAGTGGCCACAGTGTGGGGCCAGGAAAGTAGAGGCTGAGGCTTAGGTTCAGGGCCCTGGGGAGGGTGGGTCCCCGGTGGGTCCCCTTCCAGCCCTGTCTCTGCCCCCACAGATGGCTATGCCACAGAGCCTGGCTCTGTCTTTGCCCTGGAGGTTCTTCGACAGCGGCTGCACGAGAAGATCCAGCAGGCCCGGGGCCAGGTAGGTGGGGACCTTGTAGAATGGTTTCTCACCCTGCCCTCTGTGTCTCCTCAGCAGAGACAGAGACGGGCCCTAGGGGGAAGCTTGGCCTTCCTCCTCAGGAAGCTGTCATTGATGCCGTGATGGCTAGGTGCAACCTGTGCCTGTCCCTCTAAAGATCGCCAGCCTGAGATTAGGTAGCCTGCCCCATACTGAGGACCGGCCACCTGGCACTCTCTTCCTGATATGGTCTGGGAGAGGCAGCAGGAGAGCAGAACTTGGTTTTGTCAGTAGAGAACACAGGGGCCAGGACAGGGCCTCAGATCCCATCTAAGTTCTGAGCTGCTGGAGAAAGGATGACAGTGCTCGGAACTCTCCGCACAGCGTCCTGGCACGGGGAGGTCGGGGGAGCTGGGAGGCATGGTCCTTAGGGGACATTTCACTGTGGAAAGTTCTGCACGGAGGCCATGCCTGCATCAGGATTTCCTCCCACACCTTCCAGCTCTGGGTGCATCCCAGCCATGTGCCGTGCGGGACCCTGGGGTCGGGAGGACTCTGGTGAGTGAACCTGCTCCCCTAGGACAGCACCAAGGAACTGTCCACGGCCACTCTGGAGAAACGGCGCCGGAGAAAGCAGGAGCGGGAACGAAAGAAGAGGAAACGGAAGGAGCTGCTCGCCAAGAAGAAGGCAGCCCAGGCTCAGGAGGCAGAGGAGATGGAGCCGGTGGCTGAGGCGACCCCAGGGGCTGCCTGTGTGGAGGCCCCGGAGACAGCGCTGATCTTCAATAAGGTGAGCGGGCAAGGGGCCGGCCTCACGGGGAGCCTCTGGGCTGGGAGTGCCCCTGGCTGGCTGCCCTGCGGAGCGGGGACGTGGCCACGACGCTGGGCTGGAGCCGATCCGAGTGCCGTCCCCAGGTGGAGGTGAGTGAGGAGGAGCTGGCCAGCAAGGCCCAGCGCAGGAAGGAGAAGCGGCAGCAGGTGAAGGGGAACCTGACGCCGCTGACCGGCAGGAACTACCGGCAGCTGCTGGAGCGCCTGCAGGTGCGTCGCGGCCGGCTGGAGGAGCTGCGTGAGCAGGACGTGGGCAAGGCCCAGCAGCTGGAGGCCAAGATGAAGTGGACCAACCTGCTGTACAAGGCGGAGGGCCTGCGCATCCGCGACAACGAGCGCCAGCTGGAAGACGCGCTGAAGCGCAAGGAGAAGCGGCGGGCACAGCGGCAGCGGCGGTGGGAGAAGCGCTCGGCACAGGTGGTGGAGAAGATGCAGCAGCGGCAGGACAGGCGGCGCCAGAACCTGCGCAAGAAGAAGGCAGCACGGGCCGAGCGGCGCCTGCAGAAGGCCCGCAAGAAGGGCCGGGTGCTGCCACAGGACCTGGAGCGGGCTGGCCTCGTCTGAGCCCTTCCGCAACCCTCACCTGCCTACCTGGCCTCCCGCACCTTCCCACTCCATGCAGGTGGTGTGTGACGCTGGGGCGGCCCCTAGTCCCCAGACCTTGGGACCCCGTGATAGACGCAGTCCTGGTGTCCCAGAGCTGCCTTGTAGCCTGGGTTATGTGCCGTGAGGATGTTTTGGCCACATCCTCAGACCACAAGGAAGAGGACCCAGAACCACCAGCAGCCTCTGAGGCGCGAGCTTCTCGTAGAGTTTAGGTCAGGGAGGGAGGAACGGGTGGGGAGCACAGCAGGACGGGGCCTCAGCCAGCTGCCTTGTCCAAAGCTCAGTGGGATGGGTAGCAGGGAGGGAGCCCCCAGGGGAGCAGGTGCAGCTGTGGGCTCGGACACCACGCTTGCCGCCTTGTGCCAGTCTCCAGTCCACTGGCGTCCTTGGGGCTCAGAACCCGAGTGGAGGGAGGGCCATCAGGGCTGTGACACTGGTTGACACCTCCTGGAGTTGGGCTGATGCTGGCCTGCCAGTACCAGAGCCATGGGTGGGGAAGTGGTTAGGCACCTTGGGCATTTCTCTGCCTGGAGGCAGAAAATCAGCCCAGCTGAGCTACCATTGGGAAGGGAGCCCTCAGGTGACAAGAGGTGAGAGCAGACAGGCACCCGAGAGGCTGGCAGTGCTGCTCCGTGGAGTCTCACTCAATGAGAGACAGAGCCGGGCCCAGCAGCGGGGAAAACACTGGGATTGGGGGCCCCTGTGGCAGTGCAGCAGGCGCCCTCGGGTCCACCCTGCAAGGGTGTGGACAGTGGGCAGCCTCTAGAGAAAGGGCCTGAGCATGTCTGTCCCAAGCAGGGCTCCTGTTTAGGAGCTTGGCTGCAGCTTTGGCAGCTCTGGGTGGTGGTGTGGGCTGCGCCTCTCTCCGGCCCTCCATCCTTCACAGTAAACGCTTGCGCTGCTAACTCAGACTCCAGGTCTGTTTCACGGAGGGTGGAAGCGATACACAGCTCCCGAGCAGTGTTCAGACAGCACCCCTACACCTTGTCTGTATCTGTCAGAAGAAACCCACTCGCTTCTGAGGAAGAGATTCATGCTGGTGCTGTGGCAGCCACAGTGTCTGCCCGAGGCATGGGAAGCATTGAGGACAAGGTCTGGGGCTTGTGCCCTGTGAAGTCACTGCAGTGAGCATTGTCTGGAAAGCCCCTCCCACCCTAGCTGGAGGAGGCACACTTTCAAAGGGAAAAAGAGTAATATTTTCAAAATAAATGGTGAGCAAATGCCTGAGATGTTTCGAATGTTCGTTGTGTAGAATTCCACTTTGGTAGCTAGAGTGCACGTGACTGTTGTAAATTTTCATTGGCCACATTTTAAGTGCTCAGTGGTCCCAGTTACGCTAGTGAGCCGCACAGAGACAGAACATCTATATTTTTTAAAGGGTGTGTTGGTTAGTGCAGGTATAAAGCCAGCAACATAACATTAAGAATCCAGGGCCAGGGATTTAGCTTGGTTCCGCCACCTGCTTCACAAGCGCAAGGTCCAGAGTTTGATCCCCAGTACCAAAAAAAAAAAAAAAATCAAGATAGTTCTGGAATAATGGACAAAGATCACTGTAAGGTGACAGGTTCAATTATTCTGTCATTTGTAAAAGTCAGAATTTAGGTTAAATACATATTCCACTGTCACCACAGTGTGACAGTGGTGTCACACTGAATACCTGGGCTTCTGTCACTGACAAAGAACAGATTTATTGCTCACAGTCCCAGGACTTCACATTAGTGTCAGGTGGGGCCTCTGTGCTGTGTCCCAACTTGGCAGGAGAGCAAGGAGCACACAGAGGCCATGACGCAAGTTCTTTTAACCAGAGTCCTCCGGCCTCTGTGACTCTGTCTCTACCTGCTCTTGGGGTGGGTGGGGCCTTCCTGGGCTGAGTCCCATCTCTTCCTACAGTTACTGTGTGTAACAGCAAGCAGCTGTGTACATGTGGCCACAGGTAACGGAGGGTTCAGATTGTACCAACAGAGAAGAGCCACATCGTGATTTTAGATAGATGGGAGTTTGTTCCAAAAGTACAGCAGAAAATTTATTGTAAAAAAATATACAACAGAAGCTGGGCAAGGTGAAGCACGCCTGTAATCCCAGCACGCGGGAGGCTGAGGCAGGAGGATCGCTGTGAGTTGGAGGCCAGCCTGAGCCACATAGACTGCCTCAAAAAAATATAGCACATAAGAGCATAGTCGGATGATACATTAGCACACAGTGAGGCAGGGGACGGTACTGAAGGTGAAGCTTCTGGGGAGGGATCTGTGCAGGCGAGGAAGAACGTACCTGCACTGTGCCATTTGTCAAGGCGATCTGCACATCAGGCTTCCCAGGGGAAGCGGCCGGTCTCTCTGCAGAACGGCAGCAGCCAAAGTCATGTCGGCGAACACCCGCGTTTCACTCATGCCTCTCCCTGCATCTGACCATGAAGTCACGTCTCAGAGGGGGCAGAAGATAGAAAAGGTGTGTACACACAAAACCGAAGAGAGGACAAAACAGGGTGGGGCAGAAGATCCGAATCCAGAAGGGAAGAGAAACTTGGGAAGCAGTGAGTGCAAGGGGAGAGTGACAAGCTGGGGTTAGGGCGCAGCCTGTAGACGACCCCAGTGAGCGGAAATGGACTGAACAGGGGAGGACGGAGCCCTCGGCGCAGGCACAGGAGGCCAGTGCCCCACCACTCGGCTACATTCACAGCCCTTCACTCAGATAAATTTTAACAACCGACTCGGCATGGTTGTGGGATTGTGCTGACTAAAGTCCACCGCTTGCAGAGTCGGGGCAGGGAGGGCGGGGCCGGTAATCCTAAGGGTCCATTGCGTTTAAAAAGATAAAAGCTGCCAGAGGATCCAGTCCGCCTTCCCCTTGAGGTAGAGGTGGCCTTGTTTTCCAAACACTGTTACACGTGACAGTAACGCTGTTACTGGTGTCTACAGGTTCAGCCAAGCAGGGACAGAAGTGAGGTGCACCGTTTTGGTCCAGTGTCCAGCCTCAGGGCCGGGATCCCAGAGCGCAGCCTCTGCGGTCCTGTTTTCCGAAGCCCTGGAGGTTGCCAGCGAGGCTTTCTTTAGAGGGGAGCTTGAGTGTCCCGGCCAGCAGCGCGCCTTGTGATGAGGTGTAGGGAAGCCCAGCTACGTGGCCAGGCTTCAACTGTGTGCTTCTGACAGCTTTCCAGAATGAGGAAGGGGAACGTCAGAGCATCCGTTAGGTTTGAAAGAAGGGTTAAGGGGCAAAAGCTGGGTTCTCCTCCTTCAGCTTCCTTGAGCTGAGCCCTGTGGTCTGGTGTAAATAGGTAATCCAGGGGCATCTGAAAGTCATGGCAAACAGGGTTCAAGACGAGGTCATAGCTTCCTGTGCAGGCAAGAAATGTCAAGGTGATAGATGAAAAATATATTATTAAAACAAAAGTCTTTGGAGCCATTAACTCCAGTGCTAAACGTGCCACTCAACAAAGCCCTCACATCTCATGATTTTTATGCAGCTGCTAAAAATACTATGCAGATGTGTGTTGGTAATTGTCTTAATCTTCAAAATCTAAGGACACAAAGCTAGCTTTAAAAAAAGGATCTGGGCTGGGCATGGTGGCACACGCCTGTAATCCCAGTACTTAGGAGGCTGAGGCAGGAGGATTGCTGTGAGTTCCAGACCAGCCTGGGCTACATAGTGAGTTCCAGGTCAGTCAGTCTCAACTACATAGTGAGACCCTGTCTCAAACCACACACACACACACACACACACACACACACACACACAGATCAGGCTGGAAATTTAGCTCAGCGGTGCCACCGCCTGCCTGGCAAATATAAGGTCCTGAGTTTGATCTCCAGTACCCACCCCAGAAAAAAGGATCAGACTGGAATTTGATATACTTTTTTCTTCTACAGAATAGCAGCTTTCAAGGCAAATTTCTTGGAATATGGCTCTTAAACATATATTTTGTTTCTTTGATCTTCACTGTTTATGAACTCAGCAAAATTAAAATGAGTAGAAAGATAGGAGGTATAGGGTAGTCAGGGAGAAAGCTCCAAAATGAAGTTTTTGATTTTTCTCATTTTACTGTGTTCTGCTTCTTCCCCCCAAATTAGTCAAGCTCCTGGAACACGATATGAAAGGTCTTCTACTGCTTTGGTAGAGAAGCAACATTATTTTGGATCCATTTTCATCATTAGCCAGTTATTTAAAAGTCTACATGAATCTATCAATCAGGCAGTGGCAGGACCACCACCAACAAGGAGATGCAGCATCTGGGGACAGGTGCCCAGTGTCTCAGCCCCATAGAGGCAACTAGGCTACAGCCACAACAAAGCCCTTCACAATCCTGAAAGTAATAAAATTGGAAGGGAAGGAGTACTCACAAAGTCATTGCTGGAAGTTCACATTAACCCTGATTCCAAAACCAGACAAGGATCCAACAAAAAAGACTACAGGCTAATCTCTAATGAACATGGATGCAAAAATCTTTAACGAGATACTGGCAAGTAACATAGTAGCTCACACCTATAATCCCAGCACTTGGGAGAGTGAGGCAGGAAGACCACTAGGCCCATAGTGAGTTAAACACCGGGCTGAACTACATAGTGATACCCTATTTTAAAAAAAAAATACTGGCAAATAGAATATAACAAATCATTAAAAGGATCATATATTGTGATCAAGTAGGCTTCATCCCAGAGATGCAAAGATGGTTCAACACATGCAAATCAATAAATGTAATACACCACATAAACAGAAACAAGGACCAAAAAAATCACATCATCTTGATAGACACAGAAAAGGTTTTTATAAAATCCGATGTTCATTCATGATTAAAAAAAAACCTGAAGAAAATAGATATAGAAGGGACCTTATCTCAAGCTGATAAGCCATTTATGACAAACCTTCCAACCTCAATAAGTGGGGAAAATCCTCTAAAATTAGGAATAAGACAAGGCTGCTGTTCAATATAGTCCTCAAAACATTAGCCAGTGCGATCAAGTGAGAGAAAGGAAAGAGATATTGGAAAGGAAAAACTCCAAGTATCGTTATTTGCAGATGACAAAATCCTCTGATAGAGGACCCAAAACATTTCACCAAAAAAATAGGATTAATGAAATTCAGAGCTAGGGATTTAGCTCAGTGGTACCGCGCCTGTCTCCCAAGTGCAGGGTCCTGAGTTCAATCCCCAGAACCAGCCCCCACCCAAAAACCAGTAGTATAGGAGAACACAAAATCAAAATCACACAAAAATCTATAGTGTTCATGTACCAATAATGAATTCACCAAGAATGAAATTGGGAAAACAGTACCATTCATAATAGGATCAAGAAAAATTATTTATGAATTAACCTAACAAGGTGAAAGACCTCTACAATGAAAGCCACAACACTCTGAAAAAGGAGATCAAAGAGGATATGGAAAATGCAAAGATGTCCCCTGCTCCTGTATAGGCAATACCAATACAGTGAAAATGGTCATACTTCCAAAACCGGCAAACACATAAAATACAACCCCAATCAAAATACCAACAGCGTTCCTCACAGAGCTAGAGAAAACATCCTAAAATTCACATGGAATCAGAAGAGAGCTGGAATAGCAAAAGCAATCCTGGGCAACAAGAGCAAGGCTGGAGACCTCACAATCCTGGATAGCAAGTTATATTACCAAACTACAGTGATAAAAACGGCATGGTAGTGACACAAAAATAGAAATGTGTATCAGTGGAACAGAACAGAGGATGCAGAAACAACCCCAGGCACATTCAGCTATCTGATCTTTAACAAGGAAAGATCACCCCTTTAATAGATGGTTCTGAGAAAAATGGCTATCCACATGCAGAAGATTGAATCTAGACTCATATCTCGCCTGTCTCTGAATCTAGACTCAGATCTAAATGTTAAAACAGAAACAATCTGCTGGAAGATAAAAACGGTAAAACTCTTAAAAGGCATAGACATAAACAAGACCTTCTGAACATTTTGAAACTGCCAATTATGACTATATATTCTTTTGTTTACTTTATGAAACTTCTTATTGTTCTTTGTATATAATAAAATATGTTTATAGACATTTAATCTTCACCCTTAGAAGACGTCTGGCTTTTTTTTTTCTTTTTCTGGTTTTATAGCATAAAACCAAGGGTGCTGTGCCACTAAGCTATGCCCCTGATGCTTTTCACTTTTTGTTTTGAGACAAGGTCCCACTGAGTTGTCCAGATTGGCCTTAAACTTGAGATCCTCCTGCCCTGGTCTCCTGAGTGGCTGGGAGAACAGGCCTGTACCACCATGCCTA